CCCTCTCAGGGGAGGACATCACGTCTCCACACATTCACCAACTCATCACGTCTCCACACATTCACCAACTCATCCCTCTCAGGGGAGGACATCATGTCTCCACACATTCACCAACTCATCCCTCTCAGGGGAGGACATCACGTCTCCACACATTCACCAACTCATCACGTCTCCACACATTCACCAACTCATCCCTCTCAGGGGAGGACATCATGTCTCCACACATTCACCAACTCATCCCTCTCAGGGGAGGACATCACGTCTCCACACATTCACCAACTCATCTCTCCCAGGGGAGGACATCACGTCTCCACACATTCACCAACTCATCCCTCCCAGGGGAGGACATCACGTCTCCACACATTCACCAACTCATCTCTCCCAGGGAAAAAAACCCAAAACAAACAAAACTAAAACAAACCCCGAAACCAAGCCTCCTTGACACAGTTCTCGATTATGCCGTAAAAACAAGCAGAACGATAATAATCCGACAATAATGATCAAAAATAATAATCGTTATTATAATGTTATATGGACAGTAGAAGAGTCTTAAATATTACATGTAAAGCTCACTCACAGCGTTGTACAAAAGGCATCATTATAATATATATATCATATATCATCATATATCACCAAGTCTAGGGTGGGGGCGAGCTCCATCACATACAATATATATATATACAGTCGAACCTGCCCTGACGACCACCTGTATAAGACAATCACCTGTACAAACGACCACCTGTATAAGACAATCACCTGTACAAACGACCACCTGTATGAGACAATCACCTGTACAAACGGCCACCTGTATAAGACAATCACCCGTACAAATGACCACCTGTATAAGACAATCACCTGTACAAACGACCACCTTGCTTAAGACAATCACCTGTACAAACGACCACCTGTATAAGACAATCACCTGTACAAACGACCACTTCCCAGTCCCTCTAGTGTTATATTTCCCTTCCAGCGACATTTTAAGATGCCCACCTGGCTAAGACAGCCAATCTTTCCCTGGGCAACGGGCGGCTGTCTTAGACAATATGTAGATATATATACAGAATGACAACATCTTATGAGCCTCGGAGGGGGGGGGGGGACAACCCCCAGAACAACCTACAACACGTAGCATGTGCCCAGAACATGCGCCATTTTCAGCCCATTTCGGGCCAAGGAGTCGTGGACACATCACACACATCTCAGAATGAAAATCCTTCACTTCTGCCTGTTTCTGACGGATGATTTACCTCATTTACAGCCTGGTTTGGGCAAGAACATGGTGGTAGAAATAATAATATTATCACAAACCTTCACCTTTGGAGGCTGCCCCTCTCTCTCATCTACAACTACAATATAATACGCCATTTACAACCTGGTTAAGGCAAGAACACTGGGTGGTCAGCATCACAGAGTATCTGCCACTCTCGCCTCACTCCGACGGACAATCGTGACAATTTACGCCATTTCCAACCCGGTGTGGGTCAGAGACGGTACGTCGCACACCTCCAAATCCTTCACACACCACGCTTTCTGCAGGACACTGTACGCCAATTTCGAGCCGGTTTGGGCTGGAGAGTGGGTTGTGGACATACATCACATACTTCCAATCCTTCCCTCCCAGATCTGTCTCATGGAGGTTACACGCCGTTTTCGAGCTGGTTCGGGCAGGAGAAGGTCGTGGGGAACACATTCTGTTCTGACAACCGAAGCCCCAGTTCACTTGTGACCTTTCCTGCTGGACAAGTCTAAAGGCACGGTCTTGTGGGGGTGGGGGACAGGCGGGTGGCAGCTGTCACACGGGCTCTGTAGGTCCGGCAGTGTGGAGTTGTCCGTGCGGTCCTCCGTGCCCGGCGAGGTCACGTCTGTGGCCGGCGAGGTCACGCTGGAGGAGAGGGAGGAGGGAGAGCTGCTGATCTCAACGCTGATCTCCTCCACACTGCCGCCCACCCTCACCCCTGGCCCCGTGACCCCTGACCCCGCGACCCCAGGGTTGGACACCCCTGACCCCCAGGAGGAGGACGTCAGCACACACTCACCTCTGACCTCCCCCTTGGTAGCACCGACACCCCCACCCCCACAGCCAGCCGTGTGCGAGCGGCCCGTCGTGTCGTGTGTACCTGACGTGGCGCCAGTGACCAGGTGTGTAGTACCGTGACTGACCAGGTGTGTAGCACCACCGTGACTGACCAGTTGTGTAGCACCACCGTGACTGACCAGGTGTGCAGCACCGTGACGGGACACTCGCTCTGACATGGCTGACCCCGCGGCCGCCAGCGGTTTGGGAGACGTGGAGGCGGGCCGGCCGTAACGCTTTTTCTTCACATACACCTCGTAACAGTCGTCCGTCTCCGATAGGCTGAAGTGGCGGCGCTGGGGCGGGGGGTGGGGGGAGAGGTCTGCCCTCGCTTGGAGGAGATCAGAACAGGCCGGAGGGGTAGTTGTCTTTGGTGAAGATATCTGGGCAGTCAAACATGGTGTGTTTCTGTCAGAGGGGGAGGGGGAGGGGGTGCCTTGTTTCTGGACTAAACTGGCTGACTTCCGAAAGAGGGTGTTGTTTGTTACAGCAGCCCGCTCGGAGGAGGAGGAGGAGGAAGAGGAGGAGGGAGGGGCAGGACGAGAGGAGGGAAGATCAGTGGAGGTTCTCGTGGGCGGCGGCACGCGGGTGTGGTCCGGCACATGCGAGTCGTGCCGTGAGGTCACGACCCCCCGCCGGTGAGCCAGGTTGACCCCCACACCAGAGTTGTCCTGCTTGCCGTCGGTGGCCGAGCCCCAGGGCCCGGGTACCGCGCTGGGCCCGCACGGCGAGGCAGAAGGTTCAAGTCCCGAGACGTGCACAGAGCTCTGAGGCTCCATATCCAGCGCCGACAGTTTCCTCTTCTTCCAGTTCCGCTTCTCCATCAGCTCCCTCCCACTCTGGGGCCCGCTCCGCGACACTCCAAGATCCTCCAAGGACACATGATGACCCTCCAGCGACACACGGGGATCATCCAGCGACACGCGGGGATCCTCCAGCGACACGGAGCGCTTGTAGGCCGAGATGGGCTGTTTGTGTTTGTGGAACTTGGGGATGAAGGTCGCGAACACTTCCTCGCTGGCGGCCGGACCCGCCTCCCTCACTGGTCGCTTGACCGCTTGTCTCCGCCCAGAGGACACGCCCACCGCTGGCTGACTCCGCCCACCACACTGCCCTGTGGGGGCGGGGTCACAGGGCAGGGAGGGGGCGGGGTCATGGCGGAGGGAGGGGGTGGGGGGTTTCTCTGGGGAGGGGAGGTTGGCAGGTATCCGCTGCTGCTCACTGTTGTTTTTGCTGTTGTTGTTGTTGTTGCTGTTGTTTTTGCTGTTGTTGTTTTTGCTGCTGTTGTTGTTGGTGTTGTTGTTGGTGTTGTTATTATTGTTGCAGTTGTTGTTGTTGCTGCTGCTGTTGTTGTTGTTGTTATTATTGTTGCTGCTGTTGTTGCTGCTGTTGTTGTTGGGCCCAGAAGGCAGTCGTAAGTTGCTGAGCAGCTGCCAGTCGACCTCCGGGCGTTTGGCGGGTGTCCCTGGGGCTGTCGGCTGCGGCTGGTGTTTCTTGGAGGATTTCCGCAGGATGGACTGTACACTGTGGACCAGAGTGTTGACGTCAGGACTGCTAGCCGCTCGGACGGCACCCGCCACTGACGTCGCAGGTCTGGGGGCTGACGTCTCAGGTCTGGGGGCTGACGTCGCAGGTCTGGGGGCTGACGTCGCAGGTCTGGGGGCTGACGTCGCAGGTCTGGGGGCTGACGTCGCAGGTCTGGGGGCTGACGTCACAGGTCTGGCGGCTGACGTCAAAGGTTTGGACCTGTGACGACTTTCCAGAAGTTTCTGTCCGGCTGTACGGTCCTGTGTGGTCGACTCCGCCCGCGAGGCCTGCCTCTTGTTGTGTGACCCTGTGACCACAGAGGTCACCGAGCACACAGGGGTCAAGGTCACGCCAGATGGATGTGCGGCAAGGGGGCTCTGGGATGGAAAAGACGTCCTACTCAACAATGGCGATGATGATGATGATGATGATGATGATGATGGTGTCGCAGACAACAATGATGACGTGGGTACCGGACTTGAGGTGTGAGTTGACACGGCAGAGTTGTGTGCGCCAGTGTGTTTGTTCGACTGTCTGTGAGCCGGAGAGATAGTAGTTCCGGAAGCTTCAGTGGTCGGGTGAGTGACAGCGACGGGAGGCGGGCCGCGGGAAACCACCGAAGATGTTCTCGCTAGGCTGGACGTGGACACACCCTTATGGGCAGGAGTGGACACGCCTTTATGGACAGGAGTGGACACACCTTTATGGGCAGGAGTGGACACGCCCTTATGGGTGGGAGTGGACACGCCCTTATGGGCAGGAGTGGACACGCCCTTATGGACAGGAGTGGACACGCCCTTATGGGCAGGAGTGGACACGCCTTTATGGACAGATGTGCCAGGCAAGACCACCACACGAGAAGAGAGAGCAGAAGACACTGCATCACGGAAATTCGTTTTTTCTGACAAATTTGGCTTTTCCGAGAAAGTAATCCCACCGACCTCCAGCGTTTTGCAGTTGCTCCTATCATGGCCCGTGCACAAAGAACTCGCAGACACACACTCGGGCCCAGAACTGCCTGGCTTATCCAATGAAACGCGACCTTCGGAACTGCCTGGCTTATCCAATGAAACTCGACCTTCAGAACTGCTCGACTTGTCCAATGAAACGCGACCTTCAGAACTGAACCCCGGCACTTGAAGACAGACATTTCCAGAATGGTACACTCCCTTGGAAGAAGACGTGCCACGCCCACTTGTAAGAGCTCCGCTGTCTTTGTCGAGTCTTTGTGGGGTGGGCTGTTTGTTGGGGGAGTGGGTGGGGTGAGGTGTGTGTGTGGGATGTGTGGGGTGAGGTGTGTGTGTGGGATGTGTGGTATGTGTGGGGTGAGGTGTGTGTGTGGGATGTGTGGTATGTGTGGGGTGGGTGGTATGTGTGGGGTGTGTGGGGTGGGTTGTGTGTGTGGTATGTGTGGGGTGGGTGGGATGTGAGGTATATGCAGGGTGGGTTGTGTGTGTGGGGTGTGTGGGGTGGGATGTGTGTGTGGGTAGGGTTGTGTGTGTGGGGTGTGTGGGATTTGTGGGGCGTGTGGTCTGAGAACCCCCTGAAGGGACACTTTTCCCCAGAACTGTTCTCCCCAAAACCACGTTGTTTTCCACTGCCGATACATCCTTGTGGCGCTGCGAGAGGCCAGCGCTGACCCCCGGCCGGGCCAGGAAGGGCGCCACTTTGCCCACCGACGTCTGCCTGGCCTCCAACACGCGTCCAGCGGGGGCAGAGCTGGGAGCCACAGGCACCACCAGAAGGCTGGGGTTCGAGCCGTACGACGGGACCAGGCCAGGAGAGAGAGACGTTACCCTTGGTTTGACGGTAGCCGACAGTTTCTGGACCTCCTTGGCTGTTATCACTTTGGGCCGGACATCAGAACTGGGCCGGACATCAGAAGTGGGCCGGACATCAGAACTGGGCCGGACATCAGAAGTGGGCCGGACATCAGAAGTGGGCCGGACATCAGATCCGGTCTTGGGCACACAGGCAGAAGCAGCGTCGGAGAACCGCGCAGACGTCCCCTGGTTTGTCCCACACACGGTCTCCCCTGGTGCAGTCTGCCGCCCAAGTTTGGAACTGGGATTTTCCTTTGGGGTGGCTTTTGGATTGACGAAACCCGGCGCTTTGGGGGCGTGGTCTGTTAAGGGGGTGTGGCCTGACGAAATGGTGTGGTCTGTCGAGGGGGCGTGGCCTGGCGAGGGGGCGTGGCCTGACGAGGGGGTGTGGCCTGCCGAGAGGGCGGGCTTCATGTCGTGATCTTTGACCTGTGCTATGTCCTTGATGACGACCGGAGTGACCCCGTGACCCCCGGGCAGGACCACCGTGGTGGTGCACGTGACTCGTGGAGGGGGCGGGCCCGAGGGGACGTTTGTGGGCGTGGCCTTTGACTCTTTCACAGGCTCGGTCTTCGGACAGGGGGGCGGGGCATCTGTCACCGTGTAGAGGATGTTCAACGGCTGGTCCTGGGGGG